CTGGCCCCGACTCATAACGACCCCTCCTTGGGTTTCCGAGGCAGTATCACTACGGAAGTAGAATTGCCCCACCTTCCTTCCGAGGAGTGGCTGGTGGGTTTGAACCGCCACCCTTCTGGTTAGCAGTCAAGTGCCTTAGGCACTATGCTACCAGAGCTCCAAATTGTGCTCATGAAGAACCTGTATATAGACCAAGAGACAGCTGTTCGAACAGAACAAGGAGATCCTGTATGGTTTAAAATCAGGAAAGGTGTGGTCAGGGTCATATCCTTTCACCATATTTATTCAACCTGTTTGGTGAACAAATAATCCGGGAGGCTGGACTCTATGAACAACAGGGCATCAGGATTGGATGAAGACTCATTAACAACCTGCAATATTCAGAGGACACAACCACAACCTTGCTGGTTGAAACTGAAGACGACTTAAAGTACTTATTGATGAAGTTCAAAGAGTACAGGCTTCAGTAGGAATTATATCTCAACATAAAGAAAACAAAAATCTTAACAACTGGACATCATGATAAATGGAGAAACTAATAAGTTGTCAAAAATTCAATGCCCATGGAAGCAGCAGTCAAAAAATGAAACAACATACCCCATTGGGCTAATCGGCTCCCAAACATCTTTAAAGAGCAATCCTGTCACTTTGAAGGCTAAGGGTACCTGACCCAAGCCATGGTAATTTCAATTGCTTCATATGCAAATGAAAGCTGTACACTCAATAAGACCACAGAACTGATGTACTTGAATTATGGTGTTGGCAAAGAATATCCAACATACTATGGATTGCCAGAAGGAACAAATCTGTCTTGGAGAAGTATAGCCAGAATGCTCCTTAGAAGTGAAAACCACCAGACTTTGTCTCTCATACTTTGGTCATTTTATCAGAAGGTACCAGTCCCTGGAGAAGGTGATCATACTCGGCAAAGTAGAGAGTCAGCGAAAAAAGAGGAAGACCCTGAAGAAGATAGACTGACACAGTGGCTCAAGCATCGCATTGACTGTGAGGATGGTGTAGGATCAGACAGTTTTATTCTGTTGTACACAGGGTCGCTATGAGTTGGATCTGACTCCATGGCACCTAACAATAACAACATAGTTTCTAACATGAGTATTTGTATTTACTCTACCCTGTCTCAGTCACGCTCAAACCCACATATCTAGGCTTCTAACATGAAGCCTAAGACCCTACACTAATATAAATAAGGTCCTTTCTTGTTTTGAAGGTTTATGGTATTATGATTCAAGTGTATGACTACCTTTGTACGAAGGGCATCGTACGTAACTCAGTTTGGCACTCAGAGCATAAGAACGGCTGAAAAGTTTCTGGTAAGATCAGTACTTTTCCCAAACAGTCTCTGGCTCAAGTTCTTGACATTCTTGACATTCACACCCCAGGTGTACTGCTCTACACTCCAGGCACGGGAGCACCTAGGGAAGCTGATGACTGTCTTCTGGAGGAGGATTTGCAAACAACCCCAGATTGCTACAATGACTCATAAAATCCCATCTGACTTTCTATTCTCCTGGCTGATGTCATATCTGGGTAACATGAAATATATAATCCAAATATAAAAGTTAGTATTCAAAGTTTATCAAAGATAAAAGCACAACAAAGACAGGAGGCAGCAGGAGTTAGGTGTTTATCGATAGGGCAATAGCACTGCAGTTATAAAGTTCATCTTTACTACTATGACATTATGCCTCTGCCAAAATTGAACTCCATCACGCTACCATCTTAGACCAAACTAGCATAGGATGATTCATTAGTAATTAAAGTAAGTTTTTCCTCAAAATAATAAGCAATGAATGCACCACCACCGCCAGCTTTATTCTGTGTATTTCCACATAGGGCAGTCTTGGATTCCTGTTACATTGACTGCAAATGAACCAAAGCCCTTCCAAGTCACACATATGACTGGGACCTGTAGGAAGGCTGGCAGAGAAAAAGCCAAAGGGTATGAAGAATGTCTCCTTCAAAATCAATTTGGGATATTCATATAAAGAGCAGGTCATTTGGTATGGTACTAGAAAGTGAAATTTTTATCCTCAACAGTTAGAGAAAACAAAGCAGTAAAATTGATCAAAATGTCCCACATTTTTAAAGACTGCCTGGGGTGAGATGACAGCTCCGACTCCAGAACCCTATTTACTGGATATTTTGCCAAAGTGGGTGTGAAGTTAAATAGACAGTGCATTACACGTGCACTTGTCCATTACACATTACATCTGGACCAATTAATCTCACAGTCACCAGGAGCTGTTCAGATAATGGCTTTGATAGTATTGAGAGCCAAAAATAAAAGATCCTATCATTAATTTCCCTTGGCCTGCCAGCCTCCCCTGTAGTGGCATTTCTACAGAGCAAATTTAAAAAAAAAAAAAAAAAAAAATCAATCAACAAGGTCAAGTAAATATTCCTTGATTATTGGAGGATAATTCGTTCTGAAGTAAGGTCATACTTCCTTTTCCCCTATACATCATTTCGAAAACCCACAGCGAATGCCTACTTTCAAACTGCTTCCAATTTGCCTTTCATACAACTTGTCTTTCATACCACTTGTCTTCCTCTCCCACCTCAACTCCTGTCAACCCCATACCACCTTCCAGTTGATTCCCACTCATAGCCTCATAGCTTCTTTTAAAACAACTGCCCTAGTGTCTTTACTTTGTGAAAGTATGCAACCAGAACCGTTTATACGTTTAAGAATCACAAAGGTTTGGTTGGTGGCACCTCCTCCATTTGGCTAGGAGCATCGTTGCCAGCTGTCGTCCAGGCGGCAAAGAAAAATGAGGCGTCCCTTTTCGCTAACAGCTTGGCCCCGGTGTTGGAGGACAGAGGCCAGTGAAAACAAAGGCTAAAGACTCGGACCCCCAGGACGCGGAATCTACGCCCCACTCCTCGTGGAGACGTCCCTTGCAGAGAGGCCTTTGCCTTCGCGGCTTCTACTGCTGGCCCCAGCGGGCCGCCCCTTCGACCTCCTGCAAGAGAACCCCGGACCTGGCGCGACTCCTCCCGCCCAGCTCGCGCAGAGTCGGAACCCCTGCAAAACCTCGTGCCAGGGCCGGGTGGGTGCCCCGACCCCAGGCAGGCGGCTCAGGGTACCCAAGACTCAGGGTACTCATCGACTTGCGGCGGCCAGCACTGGGGTCCGCTCAGCCCAGGGGGACGCTCGGCCCGCAGCCGGGGACACCTAGGGGCACGTGGGGGCACTGCCTTCTTGGCCGGCTAGGCAGGCTCGTTGGCCGCCGCGAGAGCGTGGGCGTGTGTCGGGCGAGGGGGCGGCCTCCCGCCGCCGCGTCGCCACCTCCCCCCGGCCGGCTGGGGCAGGGGGAGGTCCCGCTCACCTCGGTAGCGGCGGGAGGCGAGGTGGCCGGCGACGAGCAGCAGCACGGCCACCAGCGCCAGCACCTTGGCGCTCTTCACGCTGAAGTAGTGGTTGATCTCTCGCTTGCCCAGGTTGTAGGCCAGAGCCGCCATCTTGGTTTCTCCATGACAACAGTGCGCGGCGAGGCGGGGAAGGGGCGCCACACAGGGGCAGCACTGGGGCTGCCGCCGCCAGCCCCCGTGGCCACCACCCGCGCCTCCCGCGGGGCAGCCTGACCCCACCGCCGCCGCGGTGCCCCCGACCTCCGCCTGCCCCTCCTCGGCTGCTGCCGCCGCCTCTGCGGCCTCCCCCAAGCCCCGCCGCCGCTGCTCCGCCGTGCCGGTTCCCCAGGCGCCCTGGACGCCTGTCTCCTCCCCTTCCTCCTCCTCCCCTTTAGCCTCCTGCCTTAATAGCGGCTGCGCCTGCGAGAGGGGTCCGGATGCCCAGTGCTGCGGGGTCACCGGGCCTAACTGGCCCTCCGGGGTCACCGGGTCACGGGTGGCGGCGAGCGGCGGTAGGGACATGGGATGGGGAGAGGGGCCCAGTAATCCCAGTCTGGCCTAGATGCAGGTCCTGAGCTGTCTCTTGGTTTACTGGTCGCTACCTGCGCCCAGGTTGGAGCAATAGGACTACAGTTCCGGGAGAAAAGTACACATGGCCCCATTCCCCCTTTCCCCTAAACATCCTTTACACCCTCTATAAGATTTCTACTCCCTGAACCCGCCCATGGTCACGTGGGGTTATTGTTAGACTGTCTGAAGCTGGGCTGGTCAGTCTGGCTGACCAAAGCTATAGTGTTGAGATTGTTTGTAGTCTTAAAAACCAACCCACGGGTAAGACCAGTTTTAACACTTCACTCACTGCCTCGGCCCATTCCTCTTGAAACTTTATTTTTTAAACTGTCTAAAGTTTGTCCAGCTCCAGTGGGCGAAGGTGCATCTAAGTATGGAGTGGAGGGCACAGAATGAGCCTGGGTTAGTGTAGGCGTTGGTGAGGAAACATCCTCATCCTTCATCGGTGATCATACAAGGGTTGTATAGGTGGATGTGCAAAGAAAAAAAGTATGCTTAGGACAATCATCCCTGCTCCCAAAGTTGGTTAATGTTCTGTCATTATCAATAAAGTAAACAATACTTGGGCTTTGTAAAGCATTTGTTATCCTAGTCTCAGCATCTTTTTTTTTTTTTCCTTCATTTTTTCATCTCTTTTGTGGTGCCTTCCAGATAGGTATGGTTATTTACATTGCTTGCCTTGTATTCTACTTGCTTTGTTTAGGAATGAGTCATCGGTTAGGTGGGGTGTTGTCAAATATTCCTTACAACTTCCCCATTTAGCCATTCTTGAACATGTGCTAAGGAGTTCTGGTTGTGAAGTGGATAAGGCATTTGGCTACTAACTGGAAGGTCAGCATTTCAAACCTACTACTGGCTGCTCTGCAGGAGGAAGAGGAGGCAATCTACTTAAAGATTTACAGCCTTGGGAGCCCAGTGGGGGTGGGTCAAAGTCAGACTCTACTTGATGGCAGTGAGTTTGGTTTTTTGGTTTTGGAAGTTGTGCTTATAGGTCCTTCTTAAAGTTATATCATTTAGATATGAAGGGACTGAAGATATCTTTGTCTCCTCATCCCCATTTTTTTTTTATCCAAGGACTACTATTATTATTATTATTATTATGTTTTCAGCTATGTATTCCATATCTGGAAAGATTTTGTCACTTAAATGAAATCACATACATCACTGTCATAGATGTAATGCTAATAAGCAATAAAATTAAATAAGTGTATAGATGCTTAGACACTGTTCCCTGCAAATGGTGGCTTTATTTTGGCTGTCACTCTTCTGATCCAAGGTTGATCGTATGCTGGAAGAATTAAATCAGATACTGTAAAAACCAGATAAATAACTCTGCTAACAGTATATGCTCGACCACTCACATCCTAGAAAGTCCTACGGTGTCATCAACAATGAATTAGAATTTCTGATCAGCATGCAATAACCAATGTTAGCCGGCAGAGTTGATTTAATGCCTACCAAAAGTGAAGAAATTGGGCATTGTATTTAAATTGCAACTTCCAGAAGGCTTTCTGAAATATTGAAAGTAGCTTGTGACTTCTTTCTTCCTTTCCTCTAGTTTAAAGCTAATCTTTATACCTCAGCTCTGAATCTCTTTCTGTCCCACATCCTTGGGGTATTATGCCTCCATCGGTTTTCCTCTTGATAATCATCCTCTCGTATGTCTTCAAACACTCTTTCTGTCCTAGCTGTTTCCCTTCCACCAGTAACTTCCTCTTTTTAATAAAAGAACTTCCATGGACTCTATATTCCTGTGTGTACCTCCATTCTCTCCCAAGCATCTAGATTAGTGTTGGCTTGTGGTCTTCCCTTTCTTAGCTCCTATTCTATTCCAAGCACATGTCATTGGTACTTCACCAAGGTTGTATATATATAAACCTCTTGTTTATAACCTCTTGTTTATATATATATATATATATATATATATATATACATCTTGTTTATATATATATATATATAAACCTCTTGTTTATAACCTATTGTTTCTAGCCTTAACTTCCCGGACCATTTTGTAGCATCTGATGCTATCAGTCTTCTTTATTTGGTATTCATCCATCAGGTTTTCCTCCTTCTTCTTTTTGGTCCCTCCTTTAAATAATAGTATTAACCAGAGATCTGTTGTCAGCCGCCTTCTGGATATTCCTAAGTGATCTTATCCATTCTTAGGGTATCACTTTCCTTATACATACACACAACAAATCTCATCCCTATATTATAGACCTATCTGCCTACTGGATCTAATACTCATCATTTCCAAAACAAACCATCCCTTTCCTCCTTTTTCTTCATCTGCTTTTGACCTATATGTTTCGTCTTCAAACCATCAACCCAGTTACCGAAGCAAGCAAATATTTCAATCATCCTTAAACCTGTTGCTGTAGAGTTGATTCCAACTCGCCCCCGCCCCCGCCAAATATACTTTAAATATGCTGCCTCCTCTCCGTCTGCTTTCCAATGCCTTGTTGTTGTTGTTGTTGTTATGTGCCGTCGAGTCAGACCCGACTCATAGCGACCCCTCCTTGGGTTTCCAAGGCAGTATCACTACGGAAGTAGACTGCCCCATCTTCCTTCCGAGGAGTGGCTGGTGGGTTTGAACCACCAGCCTTCTGGTTAGCAGTCAAGTGCCTTAGCCACTATGCTACCAGAGCTCCCTTCCAATGCCTTAGTGAAGGCATTTTTTTCTTGCCTGAATTTCTTGCATTTTATACTCAACTTTCTCAGGTATGGCTCAAAAATTAAAATCTTCTGCCACTCCATCATAGGGAGCTCTGGTGGTATAGTGCCTAAGGCATTTGACTGCTAACCAGAAGGCTGGCAGTTCAAACCCACCAGCCACTACTTGGAAGGAAGGATTGGGCAATCTACTTCTGTAGTGATACTGCCTCGGAAACCCAAGGACTGAACTTTCTTAAACTCAAATCTGATGATGTCATTCCTTGCTGAAAACCAGTTAGTGGTTCCCTATATTTTGCCTACAGCTGAGCCACCCAGAAAGTTTACTAATGCGGGGCAGGTTACCTCATCTCCTAATAATCTAAACAAACAAACAAACAAAAGAGGAACTATCTGATAGGAGCTCTTTCAACTGTGCATTACTTAAAAACAACAACAACAGCAACAGGAAACTACTACACGTTACCCTTTCTCTCTTGATTCAAAGAAAAATTCTGTCCTCTTCCATCTGTATTTTTGATTAAGAACCTAGTCTCGTCAGTTTCTCTTCTCTCATTGCTGCCTTGAATTGATCCCTCTTCACTGTTTGCCCTAGAAATAAGCTCAAATGCTTCCTGTCTTAAAGTTCCTTTATCCATATACCCTACTATCTCTCTTCTCTCAACCATCAAACTTCCTGAATAAACAGTTTGTGTTTACTATTCCCATTATTACTCTTTTATCTTTTTACTTCTTATTGGTCCTTTAAACACTTGAAAACTGACTAATAACTGTTCCTATTACTTTACTGAAGCCACTCAAGTGCCAGTCACATTTTAAATTACCAAATCTGATGTCTTCTTCTTAGCTTTATGCTTCTGACTGTGCGGTGTAGTTGAAATATTTGCTTTCTTAACATCTTCTCTTTTGACCTCTGTGACACTACATCCTCCTGACTCTCTAAGAAGAATCCTCTTGCTTTCTCAAACCCCATATATAAAAGTACTTTTCAAGATTTTCTCATTTGCCCATTTCTCTTTTTCTTGGGAAATCTAAATTACAGGTTGGTTTCATTCCAGGTTGCATATATAGTTCAGGAATGATCTATATATGCAACCTGGATTCCTTGAATGTTCTCCAAATCTCTGCTTTGACAAACCTCAGGGACAGCTTAACATAAATGTCCAATGGCATCTTAGATTTAGTGTGTTCAAAGTCAGAGTTTTAATTTCCTTCCATATCCATTCAGCCTGTTACATTTATCATTTGGCATCACTGCTCTTCAGGTCATTCCTGGTAATCTTTGATTCACGTTTTTCTCATCTGCCTTATCTGAAGTATGGGTTTTCAAAGGGAAGTGTGTTCACAAGATGAACCAGATTGAAGTACTAAAACTTCTACTTAAATTAATTCCTAACTACAATAAAATAACACCTCACTTTTATATTAAAGTGACTGCCTCTGGTACCCTAACTTGGTCTAAATTTAGAATCATATCCTGAGACTGGTGGGAATTCATACCTGTAGAAAGATTGACAGTGGCTTGCTTATTTGTTTTACTTTAAGCATATTGTACTTAACAGCCTTTCACATGGATTCACATTATAATTCCTACTTTTAACTAAACTCACAAAATGGAAAATGACTTTAAAAACATATGTGAAGGGACTATGAATTAAAGATAATACTAATCATAGAAATACTGGCAAATAATAATATACTCAGTGGAATCTTCTCCTAAGACAAGCTCTTCATCGACTATATTATGTGGCTAAAAAAATGTATATCATATATATGTAATATCAAATTAAATCTAGCAAGAAATCAACCAAAAAAAAAAAAATAAGATGATTTGAAATGAAGATTTATATCTACGAATTCTTTACCCTGGATTCTGCTATAAGTGTATTGTACTTTAAAGTGAAAGTTACTACTTATAGGAAGCCATGACAATTAGTATGACATAGAGAAACATGCATGAAACATTTATTCTTTTTATTATTTATTTATTTATTTATTTATAATTGTGATTTGAATGAAAGTTTACAGAGCAAATTCATTTTCCATACAACAGTTCATACACATGTTGTTT